ACCCCACTTTCGTATTTTGCAATTACCTTTCTTCTTTTCAAATCATTAGGACTTTTTTCTCAAAGGGTTGGCACTAGAAGCTTTCTTGGGGCCCAGGGTGACTTATTTTGCAGAAACAAGTACCAAACACAGCGATAATATGGATAATATGGAATGTACCGAATGTATCCTTAGATGCGCGCACTCTGGCTGGCTTGTAAACACTGGCACACACGGGGCAGTTCAGGCCACACGTGGAAATGTCTCATACGAATCGTATCGAATACTGGGGTTTCAGTCGAATACCAAGGAAAATTTTTTGCGATATAATGCATCGAATGCCGGATTTATCGAATACCGATGCCATCGAATACCGGGGGTCCACTGTATTATATATACTGCTTGTGGAGGCTAGTACACCAAATGAGGAGTAGAATGAAATTTGCTTAGAAGCACCCACACCACCGTATGTCCTTAAATCATGATAAAACACCTACCTCTGTTGGGTGCATGATTTTTGTAGGATTGAGTGGTCCTGTGGGTTAGAGCGTCATGCGATTTTCGCTCACCATGAGGCAGGCCAAAACGACACAGGTTTGAGTCCTCGGCTAGTCGCAGAGTTATTATTGGTATTGTAAGTAGAAACGAAAGAGGTGTGATAATCAAATATTTATGAAGTCATTAAAGGATATGAGAAAATAGTTCTGAAAACTAAGAAAAGAGTATTGCTTAAATGTTTGAATAAGATCCTGAAAGACATGTATAGTGTATGTATACACATCGAAGATGGGATGTCATGAGCATAGCTGTGCTCCTGTAATTATAAATACTTTAGCTACAATAAGAAATACCTATCATACATATTCATTTAGATGTGTACTCTTCCACTTTAGATAATTTAAATGAAAAACTTGATTTTTTTCTACTGATAGAATGACTGAGGTTCTGTACCCTTACAGGAGGCATTGTGAGGATGACCCTTACACTGGAGGATGACTCCAGACCAGCAGAACTACAGTCATGCCACCCCCGGGGAGACTCCAAGTTGGCCTTGAAGATGCGACCTGGTGGCCTCATCAGGGTATATGATGGTGCACTGGTTCCTGGGGTAGGTCCTATACCTCTGCTAAAATGTCATGTTTTTTCTGTATTTTGCAAACTTCAATAAAATATCGATATCTTTTAGCTTGATTTGTATTTTAATATTTTGTTCTTAGTCGCAGTACAAGAGTTTACTTGTGAGCGAGAGGACCACTTGTGAGGAGCTGATGCATCTGGTACTTCAGTGCAACAATATTCAAGACAATGTCAATAATTTTTCTATATATGAGGTATGCAAAAGTTCAGTACCAATCTTTATAAATACTATATATACATAGTTTTTAGCTGATTTTTTTCACTGAGTGTTTGTGTTCAGCATTTCTTTTAATATAAATATTAGTACATTACTTATGAAGATGTAAGTACTATTATAATCAAATAAAGCACTAAACCGACAAGAGTCATGCAGTGCTACGGGGCAGAAAATAGTGCTGGGGCTATAAACAGCTAGGTGGAGAGGAGATCAGAGGTGAGGAGAGGAAAGGGCTGTAAGAGACACTAGGGGTTGTGTGTCAAAGTTCATATAGTAAAGTAGTTGCTGACAAAATATCAATAAGTGATCGTAAGTCAAAGGCAGGGCCGTCTGCAAGAAGGGAAGATAAGGTAAGAGCAGTAGGGCAGCAATGGGACAGATAACTGCTGAATAAACTTTAGGCTCTTGTAACCCAACACATACTGGGGAAAACTGGGAGAACAACACCTGGAGCTCTCCCCGATTACCCCTGAGGCCACGAATATTCCATTGTAATTATGAGGATGTTGCCTCAGTTCTTTTAATTTTCTTATTGCAGTCATACTTCTTATACAAAAAATAATAATTTGTTGATTTCATCCAATATTGCTGAATAACTTTTGATTTAATGGTGCTTTAGTAGTCAGACTCTTTACAAATATTAATTTTCTTTGTTGGTTATGCTCCAATCTAGTACTTTCATATGAAAGCATACTGGATAAGATAAGATAAGATAAGATAAGATTTCGTTCGGATTTTTAACCCCGGAGGGTTAGCCACCCAGGATAACCCAAGAAAGTCAGTGCCTCTCGCGACTGTCTATCTATTTCCATTGGGGTCCTAATCTTGTCCCCCAGGATGCGACCCACACCAGTCGACTAACACCCAGGTACCTATTTGCTGCTAGGTGAACAGGACAACAGGTGTAAGGAAACGTGTCAAATGTTTCCACCCGCCGGGAATCGAACCCGGGCCCTCCGTGTGTGAAGCGGGAGCTTTAGCCACCAGACCACCGGGCCAAGTGATACTCAATGCCTTCAAGGATGTTTAATGTGTTGAACTTACTGTTGATGCATAGTATCACATACTCAATACAGTACATTAAAACTTTGTTTTAAGGATTGTAACTTTAATACCTTTTGTTTGCTGTGTTGTTGGAGCATCACATGTTAACATCTCCTTGCAAGCATCATTTATCATTTACTCATTCAGGTGCGCCGGAATGATGGACGAGAGCGCAAACTTTATCAAGATGAAAGGCCTTTGAGACTGACATCTCGGTGGGCATCACGAGACCATGCTTGTTTTAAGGTGCGTCACACACCCTCCCTCTCACCCACACACGCCCACATTACTTCACTCACAACCTTAAGGTACTATAAGTTGATCATATATTTTTTAGATCTCGACTGTATCTTAATGTATTGTGCATTTGTATTTCTTTTAGAATTATGGATTTTCATTTCAATTCTAAACTCCTTTAAAAGGAAAGCTCCCTCGTTTAATACCCTGCAGCTGAATAAGTACAGGAGCGTGCATTATGCAGTTAGGTCATGGTAGTAACCTTTGCAGTAATATCTACAGTGGACCCTCGGTTATCGGCCATAATCCATTCCAGAATGCCGGCTGAAAACCGAAATAATATTTCCCATAAGAATTAGTGTAAATGCGATTAATCCATTCCAGACAAAAATATTCGCAAAAAAATAATATTTTAACAATTTATAAATATTACATACCTTTAGTGGGTAAGGGGCTTGGACTTCCAGCAAGCGTGCGTGAGCGTGTTAGATAGGAGTGAATGGAGACGAATGGTACTTGGGACCTGACGATCTGTTGGAGTGTGAGCAGGGTAATATTTAGTGAAGGGATTCAGGGAAACCGGTTATTTTCATATAGTCGGACTTGAGTCCTGGAAATGGGAAGTACAATGCCTGCACTTTAAAGGAGGGGTTTGGGATATTGGCAGTTTGGAGGGATATGTTGTGTATCTTTATATGTGTATGCTTCTAGACTGTTGTATTCTGAGCACTTCTGCAAAAACAGTGATAATGGTCGAGTGTGGGAAAGTGTTGAAATGATGATGAAAGTATTTTCCTTTTTTGGGATTTTATTTCTTTTTGGGACACCCGCCTCGTGGAAGAACGGCCGACTTGTTGAAAAAAAAAAAAAAAAAAAACTTTAGTGAAGGCTAATGCTGGCTCCTGGAAGATAGGGAGGAGGAAAGAGGGAGGAGTTAGTGTTTGGAAGGGGAAACCCCCATCCATAAAGACTTTAGGTATGCAAGCCTTCTCTGGGATTACTTTCCTACTTTGTCTTTTAAACCACTAGACCAGCTTTGATCACTGGAACCCCCTGTCTTACAGAATAATTGTCCAAGTTGCTCTGTTTCTACTGGCATCTCTTTTAAGAATTTCCCCTGAATGGGACAGGGTTTTGCCACTAAACTGTTGCAGGAATGCTTGATTCAGCTTTGTTCAAAGGTGGTAACTTGTCAACAAACACTTTGCACATCATTCACTTTTCACAATCTCTTAATCAATGAAGAAGGCACCTCCTTCCACTTCCCCTCTTTCTCATCCTTTGAAAGCAAGTTCCCAGCTGCAGTCTGTTGCTGTTTCAAGTTGATAAACTCTTGCAGCTCTTCGGTGAGTTAGCGCTTCCGTTTTGGACCCCCACCAACTCTTCCACAACCTCCTCGCCACTCACCTCCAACACCTGGGACTTCCTTTTCCAGTGCACAATAGAGTCCACAGGTTACAGGGTCAGGGTACAGCCTCAAAACCCTTTCAAATTCCCTCTCCTTACACAATTCTGCTGGCCACAGTTTTCTCCAAGCAGATTTCAAAATCCTGAAATGGACTCCCTCCGCAAGCCCTTACCTATAAGGCTTATGCAAGGAGGATAGAGTGATTCTTCCAGAACTCTCTTAAGGGCCAACAGAGTTCCAAGGTTACTCAAAGCACATTTTAAACACTGGCTTGGTGTAGAGTTTTTTGAAGTTAGAAATGACCTGCCTAGTCCATGGGGCGGAGGAGAGGAGGTGAATGTTAGGAGGCAAGAACTTCACTTCTATAAAATTTGAATCCCTAAAGACTTGGTCTTCCTAGTCTGGGAGGATGTGGCAAGACATAGTCCAATTAACCAGGAGCACTTGGAGTGGCATTTTCTTTTCCAAGGTATTTTTTCACACTTGGGCCAAACCATCATTAACTTCACTCTGAAAATTTGCCTGTGAACCCATGCCTTATGATTAGCTTTCCACAATCGCACACAATCTATTCTTCAAGACATTGGTTTTTTCCTTGAAAACTCTGGGATATTCTGAGTAATACACAAGTAAAAGGCTTCACCTTTGATACTCCCCACTAGCATTGCACAACAACAAAAGAATAACCTATCTTTCAAGGCTTGTGTCCGGCAGTGCCTTTTCCTCCTGGATAATGTAGGTCCTGTTGGTTTGGCATTTTGCTTCCAAAACGGGCCTGTTTCATCACAATTTGAATACATGTTGGGGTCCGAATCCTTTAGGCCTTTACATAGTCCTTGGAATTCGTGAACATACTTTTCAGCTGCAACTTCGCAGAACTTGCAGCCTCACCATGCATAACACACTGATGTATGCCCTACGCTTCTTAAATCTATCAAACCAACCTTTGCTGGCCCTAAATTCACACACTGCTGCAGCAGCTTGATCCAGGCATTTTCTTTGCAAGATCCTCATGCAACTGCCTTGCCTCTCACAAAATGAGTGAAACTCCACAACACTGACTCCCACTAACTCTTTTTGCTTAATCCACAATAATTAATCAATTTTCCATCTCTTCCATTATTGGTGGCTTTGTTTAGTTAGAAAAGTTACACGTTTTGCAACATTAGCATCCTTGATTATTGTTCTTTCTTGCCTGGGGAGCGTGGAGATGGATGGTAATTGTTGCTTTATTCTTGCTGTACACCCTGGCAAGTTCCAACCCCCTCTTACCGCTCTCAAACTTTTCGATCACTTCACGCTTGTAAATTCCATGGTGTTTTCTCACTTTTCTTACCACAGGAACATTCTTTGAGCCATGGTTGCTTATTTCCAGTTGCACTGCAAAAAAACACAAACTACAATGGAAATAACGTCATTGTTTGGATGTATGAGCAAAGCTTCCTCAGCCACACCAAGAACACAGCAAAACTGACATGTAAGCACCCCAAAACCAGCGACAGACACGTCCCAAACGGCCGATAACAGGGCCGCCGAAAAATGGGCCATCAACCGAGCTGGCCATAACCGGGGGTCCACTGTTGTCCAATTAATCTATAGATACTAGCTAAATTAATTTTCATTTCACATACACTTGGTTATAACAACAAAAAAAATCTGCCTGAGGTACCATAAATATTTATCCAGTACAACAGTAAAATTTTTAATGAAATATTGTGGAGAATAAATATTTTAAAATCTGTAGCAGTATGGTCAGAAAAAAAAACATATAACAAGAAGTAGAGAAAGATATTGAAGAAATTAACTCAGAACAGACTGTGAGAAACTGTAACAGGTACAAACTGCATAATCTTCATCATGTAACTTACTTGAATATCATGCATTGTATAAAAGTACCTATATAGTACAATACTGTAATATACTTAATTTAAGAGTGTGGTTAGCCTTTGTACATGAACAAATTATGTATTTAACCCAACATTTCAGTAAGTGGATTTACCTTCAGAGAATAAACTTCATTTATTACATTTTATTCATATGTGGATTTCATTCTATAATATTAAAAGCCTATTTGTAATATACATCTTCTCCTCGCTTAACGACGGAGTTCCGTTCCTAAGACCGAATTCGTTGCTAAGTGAGGAGCATACTATAATGGTAGTGAGTTAGTGTCATCCATCTTTGAATAATGTTTTAAATGTCACCTGTTGTACACCATGTATAACATTTCTGGTATATTTTTTAAATGTTTATACAGTGGTGTACTGTACAGTGGGCCCTCGGTTATCAGCCATAATCCATTCCAAAAGGCCGACCCTAAAAAGCGAAAATGGCCTAAAAAACCAAAAAATAATATTTTTTTCCATAAGATTTAATTGTAAATACAATTATCTATGGAGGCAAAGAAGGAATGTAAGAAAGTAAAAGTATACCAACCACACTTATATGGGTGTGTAGCTAGGGTGTAAATTGCAGGCAGCGAGGAGAACGAGTCTCATCTGGATGGAGGCAGTGAGATGTCCTGTTTAGGGCAATGTGGTGGGGGTACATATAAGCAGAAAATTCGGAGTGTAGAATTAGGAGAAGGTGTGGAGTAATAAAATATTAGTCAGAGGGCAGAAAGAGGGGTTTGTTGCGGTGGTTTGGTCATTTATAGAGAATGGATCAAAGTAGAAGACATGGAAAGCATATAAATCTATAGGGGACGGAAGCGTGGTAGGGTCGTCCTCGAAAGGTTGGAGAGATGGTGTCAAGGAGGTTTTGTGGTAAGGGGCTTGGACTTTTCCAGCAAGCTGTGTGAGCGAGTTTAGCTAGGAGTGAATGGAGACGAATGGTACTTGGGGACCTGACGATCTGTTTGAGAGTGTGAGCAGGGTACTATTTATAGTGAAGGTATTCAGGGCAACCGGGATATTTTCATATATCGAACTTGAGTCCCTGGAAATGGAAGTACAATGCTGCACTTTAAAGGAGGGTTTGGATATTGCAGTTTGAGGATATTTGTGTATCTCTATATGTGTATGCTTCGAGACTGTTGTATCTGAGCACCTCCTACTGCAAAAACAGTGATAAAATGTGCGATTGGGTGAAAGTGATGAATGATGATGAAAGTATTTTCTTTTTGGGGGATTTTTCTTTCTTTTTTGGTCATCACCCAGCCTCGGTGGTAGAACGGCCGACTTGTTGAAAAAAAAAAAAAAAAAAAAATAATCTGTTCCAGACACCCAAAAAAATTAACAAAAACTACATTTTTTTAAAGATTTAATTATAGTATTTAAACATTACAAAAAACAATGAAACTAAATACAATAAATATGAACATTTTAAATCACTATTACATACCTTTATTGAAGACTCATGTTTGGCTATGGAAGACAGGGAGGAGGAGAGAGAGGGAATCCCCCCTCCATAAGGCTAAGATATCAAAAGCCCTCACTGTGTTAATTCCCTCCTGCCTGCTTACACTCCCTGCCTCCCTTCCACACCCCCCGTTTCCCTGCTACACTCCCTGCATGCCTGCTATTCTCCCTGCCTCCCTGCTACACTCCCGTGCATGCCCCGCTATAACTCCCTGCCTTCCCAGCTACACTCCCTGCAGCACTCAACACCCACTCATACTTTTCAACATTTTTTTCTTAAATCCAACGATTTCTCACATATTTA